TTATTGCTCAAAGTGTATTGTGCCTTCACTCATTTAGAAGCCTTAGAAAGAAAATAATGCTTACTGAAATTGTGTAAAAATGTCTTTACACACACAGAGGTAGTTGTAAATTAGTGCATGTTTGCTGAGGATTAGTATCAAAGGACAAGCATACTTCCTGTCAGCACAGATCAGTTTTCTTTTGATAATTTTAAAAAGCACATTACAAAGCCTTGATTGGATTTTACTAATTTTTCAGAAACCTATTGGGAAACTCATCATAATTGTCTGATTTAGAAGACCAAAAATGAGTTAATGTGTTTTGATGGGGCTGTGCTAATTATTTTCCATAGTATTGGATATAACGGCTGATAAAAGTGATTTGGAGAAAATCAGGCTTTTGAGATGTTCCCTGGTCAAGCAAGCAGGTGGACTGACTTGGATTCCATTAAAAGTATTTAACTGGGAGGAAGTAATATGGGAGAAATCAGTCTTTCCTATTTGCCACAACAAACAGGAAGTCTATAAAGTGAGGAGCGTAGTTAATTTGAGAAAACATTTAGTGGTGGATAAGATTAATTTTCTTTTTTATATATAAAATGATTTTTATTATTTTCAGACTGAACATGACAAACATACAAACAGATATGAGAGTAATACCAGTAACAGTATACCCTTGATGTTACCTCATACATATAAATCTAAATGCCACTCTTGCTACCATAATGTTTACTATTTAAACAATATCTTAACATTCCACTGCTATTTTTCTATACTTCTATTTTTAAGTTATGCAACACAATAGGTTAACATGTTTTCTACTAATTAGCTTTGTGTCTAAGATTAATTTTCCAAATGTAATTCTAATGAGCTATGTTCAGGTACTTTGCACTGTTGTGTCATCATAATCAGTTAGGATTATTAAAAATTTGACTAAAAGTACCCATGATTAATTGGGCAGCAGGGTTTTTTTTTAATGAGGGCTTGAATTGATTATTTGATTAATCAGTTGCTTAAAGTTGATGTGTGATTCAAGTTTCAGTTCTTACAAGCTCATTGCAGAATCATCTGTTCCGGTACATACATGCTGAAGAGACCCTTGGCAAGTCTTGAAAAAAATGTATTCTTGTTTTACTGAAGTGGAATTGTCAGATAAACTCCCTAGCGTAAACCTTTCATTTTGAAAAGCTTTGCTTATTTTTGTGAATATGATTATTGGATTTTGTGTTGCCAATTCAGAATAGCTGAAACATAGTTTGGTTATCTGTTTCTTCTGGTCAAGAGTAGGGAAAATCTCTGACGTGTTCAGATAAGTTTTGAATATCCTGATACAAAATTTTAAGTTTCTGTCTTAAAAATAGAAGCTACAGGTGAAATTTTTTCATTAAGCTGCAAATAAATGAAGCTAGGAAACTGGAAATTTTCAGTCTCCATGACCATCCCTATATGATTTTTTAAGCCACTTTTTGTATGTATTTGTTAATGGACAGACGTTTCTAACAGTGCAATTTTGCGCAGTTATACCAGTTTATGCCTGTTGATTTCAGTGGGCTAAATCTAGATTTAAATTTATTATGGAGTTATTTTATTTTGATTTAAAATTTATTATGGAATTATTATGTGCATTTGATATGTAATAATTCGGCTTTTCCCCTCTCCCGTTTGATAATTCCAGAAAGCAACACCTGGCTCTTAAAAAAAATCTTTATATTTATTTCTGGATGTGTGTTGTCTTGCAGTTGTAATATTGACCACTGAGGAAGGCCCTAAGGGGCTGAAACGCGTATGGTCTACTGGTCATAAGATATACCCATCAATTGTATATGTGAAACTAACAGCTCTGTATGTAGAGTCTGATATTTGGATAATTTCTTTTAACCTTTTTTCCCTTTTACTAATTTGTACATCATAATCAATATTTGTACTTTTAAAATAACTTATTTTGATAGCTTGACCCTCATATATCACAGCCATATCTTGGGTTGAGTCTCTCCCCCCCCCCCCCCCCCCCCTTTCTGAATCTAGAGTGTCCTGACCTGGATAGCCCAGGCTAGCCCAAACTCATCAGGTCATGGAAACTAAGCAGTGTCAGCCCTGGTCATTATTTGAACAGGAGACCTCCAATAAAGTCCAAGGCTGCTATGGAGAGGCAGACAATGGCAAACCACTTCTGAATGTCTCTTGCCTTGAAAACCCTGTGCAACTTGACGGCAAACCCCCCCTCAATAAAAAGTAGCGTAATTACATAGCAAGTGCACTGTGATTTTTGTCCTTTAAACATTCTTATATTCAGTCTCTTTTACTTTCAAATTAAACTCCCTCCCCCATCATAGTTGTTCATTAAGTTCTATGGATGTCAAATATCTTGGATTTGTTCTATTTCACTCCTAGACTAATTTACTGCAAATTATGATTGTTTGATCTTTGTGTCAATTAGAAGGAAGTGGTTTAGGGTCCCAGCATCAAGCCAGTTTATATATATTTGTTGAGTTTTCCTTTAGACTCTTTTTAAGAGGAATAAAATCCCTTGCAATGAATTTAGGTAGTATATACTGATCACATTCTATAGAGGAATAGAGTACTACAGTTAGAGTGGTTGAAGCAACTGGAATATTTACCAGGTTAACATTTTTCAGTTTTATGAATAGATATATGTGTTTTGTGCCAACAAGTGTGTGGAGATATTTATAAAGCTATGCTGTGAACTGCCCTGAGCCCATTCACGGGAAGGGCGGTATAGAAGTCTAAATAAATAAATATAGCGTTGCAGTTCAAGGATGGCATCCTCGTATTGTCCATTGTGCTTCTGAAGGTCCAGTATGAGGCTTTAGATCTTTTCTTGTGTAAGGCCAGTGCCCAGAAGAAGACCTCAAACATTGTATTTTAAGCCTGTTTTGATAAGTTGTGTTTAATGGTTTCCCCCTTCAATTGAATTGTAAGCTGCCTTAAAGGCCAATTCTAATAGGAAAGCAAGGTAGAAGTTCTTTAAGAAAATAAGTAGGATACCACAGCCATTAAAAAAAAAAAAATTGTATAGTTTGCATTGTACAAACTGTGGAATTAAATTGCCCCAAGATACTTCTAAAGTATGAGATGGACTAAAATTTCAACTAAGTATACAAGGTAAGAAGTTGTTGAGACTCTTATATACATCCCGAGCAATTACTTTAATTTTGCTTTACTTTTTACTGCATCAAGTTTAGAGTAAGTTTATATAACCAGACTCACATGGGTTTGTTTTTACACTTTGGTTAGGATGATTTATTTAATCACAAGGTTTGAAAATGTAGACTTTTTTAAAAAAGTAAAGTTCTTTGTTTATAGTTGATCTGTATTGCTGAAGAAACAGTGATAACTTGTTCTGGCTTTTTCATATCGTTTTTTATTGCATACGAGTAATCTACAGTGCAATCCTAAGAAAAGTCACTTAGACTGGGGTAAGTCTGTTTAGGATTGCATTGTTGGTCTATTCCAGTGGAACTCAGTTTGCACCTTGTAGAGAGCCACATTTCATCTCTGCCGTGAGAAGGCCTGCACCCCAGGGAGGCTTGTAACTTACTCATTCTTCTGCCGACAGCTGTTTTAAGGTGGAAACCACTTGTCAGTCAGGAGCCCCACTGTGCAAGGGCCTCACCTACTTTCTTGAAACATGAGGCAAGTCCCATATTGAGGCACAGTGGTCAGAAGAGCCACATGTGGCTCCCGAGCCACTGAGTATCGCTGGTCTAGTCCATTTGGAACATACTGAAAAAGGGTCCCTTGAGACCCAAATTATGTATCTAATAGAATGTCGTTTGGGTATCCTTGTCTTTCCATTTCCCCGTTTGTTGCTGGGTCACAGTTTGTATGTTCCTTGGTGCAAGAACCTTCCATTTTGCTTTATGCTACTTTATAAAGTGCCCTGACCTGGATAGCCCAGGCTAGCATTGAGGATTTTGAAAGTTAAACAGGGTCATCCCTGGTTTATATTTGGATGGGAGACCACCAAGGAAGGCAATGGCAAACCACCTCTGAACATCTCTTGCCTTGAAAATCCTCCAGGGTCTCTATAAGTCAGCTGTGACTATGATGAAAAAAGGGCTTTTATGAAGTGCCATCTGAACTGATGCTCAGTAAAACTGTCTATTAATAACAAATGCGTGTCTTAAACTTTTCAAATGGCACTCAGACCAGCATGATATAATGTACTGATAGCTTAGGAAACAGAAATTCCCACTGACACATTCTGTATATTTCAAGTCACGTATAGAAGTTGCAGTCAAGAAATGGGTCCTTTTCACTTAAAAAAAAAGTAGACTCAACTAAGGGAATGGCTTCTAAGAGTTTCCTGTGATATACAAAAATATTAAAATGTTGGGTTATTGACAGTTCTCATTGTTCGAGTGGCTTCTGGGAATTTTATCAGAATTCATTTGGGTGCATGTGGGAACTGATACAAATCGTTTTTATTTCAGTCTACTATTTAAAAAAATAGCAGGTCATTTGCGGTGTCAAATAAAGGTTGCCAGAGTTTTAGATGTTCGGAAACCATCTAGAAAGCCTGGTGACGGCAACCTCACGAAGAGAAAAGTAAAGTATCTTTCCCTTTTCACATCCATCTTTAAGGCTCTGTACCATTTGCTTTATGATTACCCCAAACAGGTAGCCGTTTATTCAGTGTATGACTTGGTGTGCATTGATTAAAATTGGTCTCTATATTTTATCTGAACAACTTGAGCAAGGCAGCCAAACCTTGTTCTGCTGCCTGCTTGATAACCGCACCCCCCCCCCCCCCCCCCAGCTCTTCTAGCCAGAGGCACCAGATACATAGAGGAACGTCACTGGGGGCTGACTGCTTTCATTCTGGTAGTGAGAATGTTCCAGTTTCTCAGACCAAGTAAGATTTCAGTCAAGCACATGTCCTTGAATGTGTGGCACCGTTTTCATTATGATCTTAGAAATACCGTTTTGACAAATTGTTTCATTTGCACAGAGTTTGTTTTAGGGCTTGTTCACAGAGAACAGCCAGTGAACCAGTCGAAATGTGTTGCATCTGTTGGCTCCGACAGTTGCTACGGGCACAGAGCGTGCCCCATGGCAGGCCTTTCATGGGAGTTGCTGTCGCTTGCCCTCCTCAGCTTCTAGGATTGTCGGAGGTTCAAGTGAGGACAACTGTTGTGACAATTCCTTGTTCTTTCTCTGTGCTATCCAGGGAAACCAGGTGATGCTCCAGAAGGTGACCAGTGACGAGAGGTCCATACTCCATAGTGGGGCTGTTGTCAAAATCAGTAGTCGTTAGAACTGGCCAAAGGGTTGTGGTGTGAACCAGCCTTTGTGGTATTGAGTCTTCCGAAATATATTTCCATCACTGATTCTAATTCAGTGGATGTGAAGATATGTGCCAGTGTGCTGAATCTTCCTGCAGTATGCAGATGACTTAAAGCCATTCACATTATTACCCAAAGCAAAACTCTAGTGGTGGTATAATATTACTTGAAGCATGGTGCTGGGTTGGTGGTTTCTTGTGGTAAAGTGTCCCTGACAGCCACAGTCAAGTCAGTCTTTCTGCCTCTGTTGTCCATAGATGATAGAACAATTCAATGTGCTCTTCCTGACTTGCTGTTTTGTTCAAGTTAAGATGTCCTGTTTCTAGCAGAATGGGAGTATTGTCTTTCTGTGGCCCTTTCTGTGGCCCGGGGATATAGTTTTCTATTAGTAGTAGTTAGGACATTGAGTCTACCAAGAAGTAGATAGTGGCATTCATGTTTACCATTTTGGCTGGTTGAATTACAGATTAGAGAGGAGAACTAGCCTTTCTCCTACACACTTGTGCCCTTCTTGTAGGCATGTTAAAATGGCTGCTGCTATGTGGGTGTTTTCTGCAGTGGTTCCATACTGTGAAACAGCCTCCCTGAAAATGCATTTTATCCTTATGTATAGTAGAATTGTACGGTCCATCTTGGGTCCTGCAATGCTCAGGAGAAAGGTGGGCAGAGAAACATTGTAAATGAGTAAATGCATTTTGAGTTGGATGATGTATTTGTGAGGGATCAGCACTTGTTACTGATGTATGATATGTAGTTGTTTGCTGTTTTATTGTTCAGCCTATTTTATTGGTTTTAATATCATTATAACCAGCTTTTGGTGAAATATGAGTTAAGTATGTGTTAAATATAGCATCCACCAGCTGTTTAGACTTGCGTATTTCTGATGATTTGTTTGTATGGGAATTTTTTGTGTGTGTCTCTGAATCAGCTCTGTAGCATTTATATTGGAAGCGTGAGATGAAATTTGAGGCCATCACAGGCAGTTTGAAACCTCTGAGGAAGGGATGCAGGCAGGGAGGTCTCCATACAATCATGCTCTCCTTGCTGTTGGGAAACCAATATTGTTTGGCGTATATTCCTGGGGTCCATTCAAGCTGAAAGACATTTCGTTCCTTGAAAAGTCATACTGTAAATGAACCTTGAATGCAAATACAGCTAAGGATCTAGAACAAACAAAGCTTATTGTCTTTATGTCAAAGGAGGGACTGCAAGGACATCAAAAAGGTGGTTGCTGTCTCAGAACTCTGATATTCTGTTTCCACCAAAGCCTAGGTGTTCTTTGATGGTGGGGGTTTTTTTAATGCCGATTGGCTTTGGGTGGCAAATTTTGTTAATATACTGTTATTTGTGCTAGGCCCTTATGACTGTAAAGTCCAATAAAGTGTAGCAAGAGGCATATTTCTGCATGCCCGTGTTCCATTTTACTAGGTGTTATTATCTCAGCTGCTACTCGCTGTTTTTAAAGGGATTGTGTTTATTTTTGTGTGTTCTTTCAGGTACAAGAGCTTGTTCTTGACAACTGCAGATCAAATGAAGGCAAAATTGAGGGGCTGTCAGGAGAGTTTGTCAACTTGGAGTTTCTCAGCTTAATAAATGTGGGGCTGACATCTGTCTTGAATCTCCCGAAGCTCCCCAAATTGAAAAAGGTAAGCCTTTTATCTAATGCCAGTGGTATACAGCCATATTAACGACCATTTCCATGATGATCTTAGTAAGCCAGTGACTTTGGAAGCTGGGTTTCTCTTCTTGAGTAGTTCTGCTATAAGAGTCAAAATAAGAGGTTACAAAAACATGAACTGTGCCCAGTTTTCATCTTTTACATAATTGAATACAGTTGAGGGTGATTTCTTATATCAGATTAATAAATGGATAAATATTTGTTGGTATTCCCATGAAAGCACTGCACAACGCTTCCAGTGAGAAACCTTTTTGGTTTTCCTAAACACAGTAAGTATGTCAAGATGCAAATAGCAGGATTAAAGGAAATACAGGGTGAGACGTAATCTTTCAAAAAACTGTTAGCTGTTAAACGAGATTTAGGTTTGTTCCTTGCTCACTAGAATTTGAACTGTAATCAGGGCTACGTATGCCACACAAGCATTAATGTCCTGACCACCTGGGTTTTTAGGAAGTCCTCATGCTTAGAGGAAACAATCCTAAGAAACGTATCGGTGGAGTCACGTGTGGTGAAGGTTTAGAAACCTGTGGAAAATCGTAGTTGACTTCTGGCAGCCTGGGATTTGAAGAGCAATCACAGGGTTTCCCTCCTGACATTGTTAATCAGGTTCATTCCAAAACAAGCACACAGTTCAAATTTATGAATATATTTAATTTGTAAGAGAAAGGTGCGTTTCCTTATCACAGTGTGTGAATTTTACTTGGCTTTGAGCTGGTATCCTATTTGCTTATACTGAGAATATGCCTACAAAGATTTATTGAAAAGTGAATGTGATCCTGGAGTCCAGCTGGATTGGGTGGGAGCCTGCCTGTTCTTTTAGAGAACTGCCAAGGTGGTGGGAATCTCAGACTAGGTCAAGATTCCTACTAGGAAATCTGAAGTGCTTGGCAAGCCAGCATTTTTCTTCCAGAGACTAGGTGCAAGGGAAATGGGCATATCTGGCTGAATGCACATTCTGTGGGGTGAAAAGTACGGCATTGTTGTAAAAGGGTAGTGTGCAAGACAAGGATGTTGACTTTGTTGAATAACCACCATGCATGAAAAACTGGTGTGGTTGGCCATCAGCCTAACTCTTGCCTCAGAAGCTGAAGTCTGTTCTTGGCACTTGCTGTCCCTCTCATCATGGTTAGTGGCAGGAATTTGGATGTTGTTATTTGCAAAGGTGAGTTCATTTGCTCCATGGAATGCAGTCACTGTTTTGCAGCCTTGCAAAGGATTGCTCATGAAGACAGGCCCGTGATTCACTTTCACGTGTATTCTGTAATAACATTGTCACCCACCTGAATTAAAGTCTTGTCCAGATTATGAGCCTTGCTGTCTATCAGCTCTGTGGGCTTGGTCCATCCAGATTTGAGCACGTTTAAGTCCCACAGATTGTAGTGGCCAGGATTAGGAACGCACTTGATTTATTTATTTATTTATTTTTCGCATTTATACCCCGCCCTCCCCAGTGAGGTCCATGGAACTCGAAAAGGGGTTAACTTTGGCTAGAGAAGAGGCCATGTTTCTGAACTACTTTTCTTTAAACACTGCACTTTGGCAGCTGAAGTCTGTTTACATGAAACTGAGAATAAATAAAGGTGGTATTTTTTACTGGACTGGTTCTGATAAACTAATTTTATTTCAGTACATATGAGCTTTTCCACCACATGTACATTGCATTCAGAAGAAACATATGTATATAAAATCAATTGTATGTACATATCCATGCTTTGTGATTGGTCATGATACGAGGCTGTTCTGAGAAAATGGTGAGTAGGAAAATGACATTTCTGTTAGGCAGAGCCTTCAAAGACACGTGTTGAATGATTTGCTGTCTTTCAGAACAGCCATTTTGTAGGATATAGGGCATGTCTATACTGCAGACTTAAATTGTTTTAATAGTCCCTCTAACACTGTTCGATTCAAAGGTTCTGAGCGAGGCTAGGGATCATTAATAGACATTTCAGCACTCCACCGAGCTATGGTTCCAAAGCCATGATAGTTGAACTGGTAGAAAACAGAAACAAATCAGTTGTGTAGATAGATGTCTGTAGTTAATGTATATGTTCCACTCTGTAAGAGGCTGGAGCCAATATGACAACTCTCCCTTGATGTAGGGTTTAATCAGGAGCTTTATGCGAGCATCTCATTATGTCTCAGTGGGTAAAGAATGGGAACAACTTTATGGTGTCATTTATCTTTATTTCAAGTTTTTGATCTGGATCGATACTTGGATACTTCCTCATCCCACAGCCTTAGAAATATTCAGCTTCTGCTCACGCTGTCCTTTTTTTTTTTTTTCCCCCTTCCCTTTTTTTTTTTTTTTGTAGCTTGAACTCAGTGACAACAGAATTTCTGGAGGTCTTGATGTACTAGCTGAGAAGCTTCCTAACCTCACAAATCTAAACCTCAGTGGAAACAAGCTGAAGGATATCAGTACCTTGGAGCCATTGGTATGCTATTCATGGATTTTCTAGCTGTGGTTTTTCCATGGGGCGTTGGAGACAGAGACTTTCATACAAAGGATAGCTTACATTCTCAAAATAGGCCCGTGTTCAGATGGCATGTCAAACATACTTGATGCTGTGAACTGCGTGCGTACACACACACACACACACACACACAGAGAGACATATGGTGTTTGGAGCCAAGCATAGTTTGCTGTTGCATTTAAACTATATACCTTATTTATTCAAAAGGAAGACATTCCTTAGTGTAAGATGACCCCCCACCCCCAATGTTACACATACTTTTTTTTAGTGGATATAACTATAACTTGTATGCAAATATAAGATGATACCCACATTTTAATGGCATATTTTTGGGGGAAACAGTCTTGCACTGAAGTAAATGCTGTATTATTGTAATAGATAAGGTAGGCTTCTTTCTTACCTATTGTAACATTGACTCTAAACGGTGTGATATGTATGCCTGAGGATAGCCTAGTTCTCATTGTTTAAAAGCTTTTTTTGCTGTCCCAGAAAGTAGAGCCAAGGGAAGTTACCACGCCAGGGATCTTACCATGCCAGACATTCATTTGTTGGCAGTGTAATAATAATTAACATGTGTATTTGAAATATTTATGTGAATGCCTTTTCCTGAGCTTCTTGGAGCCCCAAGGTGGGTACGTATGTAGGAGTGTTCACAGTTTGGAATGTTCATAGTGCTTCATATAGGCTACCTCCATAATTCTTACATCAACTTTGTAAGGTAGTTCCATGCTATCCCCAGGCTGCTGATGGGCAACTCTGTCTTGCCACTACCACTGGGTTGTACCATCCAAAGAACTTACTGTGTGTATAAAGAGTAATGATATAGATGAGGATGAAATAATCATCTCAGTTTCAACAAATGGAGGACAAATTCCTGGTTCAGCAAAGCCTCTAAATAGTTTCCTGGTGAAGGATGGGAGGTACATGGAAATTTGTGTTGTGTTACCAAGTCTAAGGTTGGTAAATGTTTATCAAGAAGAGAGGAGTCAAAAGGATTGCCATGCAACTTCCTGCCTCTGTAAGGATGGTGTGGAGGTCTCCCAACATTCAAAAATTATGCCCTTGGTTCCAGATGAGAATGCTCTTTCAGTCATACAACAATCCTGTCTGGTCTATACAGCAATAACTAGAGTGTATTTTTAATTTAGAAAAAATTGGAATCTCTGAAGAGCCTTGATCTGTTTAACTGTGAGGTAACAAATCTAAATGACTACCGAGAGAGCGTCTTCAAGCTTCTCCCTCAGCTTACCTACCTGGATGGATACGATCAAGACGACAAAGAGGCTTCTGACTCAGATGCTGAAGTAGACGGTGTTGATGAGGAAGATGAAGAGGGTGAGGCAAAGGCTTTTGCTATTGTATGTTGTGTAAAATTAAAATGGCTAGTTTTTCGCTTTGTGTTTTCAGAAACCTAAAAATGGAACAGCACGATTTCAGTCCAAAGTTCAATTGGCACAGAAGAAATAGTCAGGCCATCTACATTAAAGTGGCCCACTGTGCACTCTCATCCTTCTGGTACATATTCTGCATCATACCTCTTACACACACACACACACCCCCCCAAAAAAAAACCCAAGCAAGCAAACAGATAGTTGAGAAGGCTCATCCTTACCTTGCACTGAAGTAAGGGTGCCATGCGCTGTTTGCATGAATGTGCATTTAATGGGTAAGCAAATCAGCCCCTGAAGCTTAAATGTCTGCTATATAGATGTAAAGTCGTCTCAGGGATTAAAAAGTTTGTTTTGTTCTGATGTCTTCAAATTTTGGTAAGAACTTAACAAGCTTGTGCAAAAACTGTCCCGTAGACCACAAAATGCACAGCCTTGGTTTGGAATTATTGTGACACATTTTTGAGAACGTAACCCATGCTTAATAGTAAGATTGTGCACTAAAGTCTGTTGCCTTGTTTATACGTGCCCATCCAATGCTTCATACCTATTCTGCCCGCTTTGGCCTCCTCCTTAACCTGCCCACAAGATAGAACAGCCCAGAGTAGGTTTTAGATTAAATTATGGACACCATCTGGAAACTATTAAATTAAGAATAACTGATTTGTTGATTTTAATCTGTAATTTTGTATTGTTTTTAACCTGTTGTAAATCTCCTTGTGTACTTAGGGATTAGGCAATCCAGAAATTTAATAATGACAACAACAACAACAACAACAACAACAATAATAATAATAATAATAATAATAGCAGCCTGTTTCAGGGCCTGCAGGCCTGTTCTGTAGAAGTTCGTATGCCAGCACTCTTCCCTGTCATGTCATGGTTACCCTCCATTAGTGTTAGAATTAGTGTTGCATTTGTTGCATCTAACACAAATGCATGCCTTTCCCTCTTTGTTTCTGGCATGACTGCAAAAGAGCTCTTGGCTGGGTTGGAGCAGTGTTGCCTCCACTGGCCTTGAGGAGTCAGTGCACTGAGGGGAAATCCTTTCTGTTTTGTTTATTGGCAAGGCCGTAGTCAGAGTGTGTATAAACGGTAGCAGAGGTTGAGATGTTGGGCATCGCTTTACATAATCATGTCTTCATGGGATCACAGTCCAGTGGGAACTGTGTGGAGACTTCAGGATATAAACCACTGTGGTGTCCATTGTTGAACCAGGTGAAGTCAGCTGTGGTGGATATTGGGCTTGCAAGGATGGTCTCTTTCAGTCTGTATTCAGAATTTACTTACTGTTTTCCTGTGTGTGTTCATGTCATGGATTTTGAGGAGAGCTGTGCAAACTCCCATCTTTTTCTTAGAAGGTGAGGAAGAAGATGAAGAAGAAGAAGAAGAAGATGGTGAGGAGGAAGAATTTGATGAGGAAGATGAGGATGAAGAAGGAGAAGAAATAGAAGATGAGGAAGATGAAATCAGTGGAGAGGTTGGCCATAAGTATTTCCTGCCTGCTACTCTTTTACTATTGGAAGCTTGGGGCAGGGCCAGCTCCTGATTTTGGGGGGGCCCAGGGCAAGATGATTCTCCAGTGGTCCTCTTGTATCCCCCCCTACACTCATTCTGCCTCCCTCCTCTTGAGGAAATTGGATATTTCTTTTGTGCACCTTTGGTGCTGGCTGGGCTTAAATAAGTATGCCGCACTCCCTCTCTAATGTGTCTTACCAGAAAGTGGGACACTGTAAGAACCTCTGGGATGATCTCACTGCTGACTCCACTGCGGCTTAAAGGAGCATGGAAAAAGTCGCATCCTAGTGCCTTTGCCAGCAGGAAGTGGGAGGTAGTCCCAGTATCCTCTGTGGTGGTGCAGTCTCCCATTTCCTGCTGGGTGAAGTCAAATGGCTGGCAGTGGCCCCATCTTTGCTAGTGCTGCTGAGAGAGAGAGGGCTGTTGGTGGCCACTCCCAGCCTGGATACGGGCAGCTCGTCAAGAGATGCCAGTGGACCGCCATGGTCCCGCTGCCAGAGGATGCTGCTCTGTAAGGACAGCCATTGCCTTCACTCTTTGTACCACCCGGCAGGTCAGCCAGACTGGGTATCTCCACCCCTTTGTAAAAATCTGACTTTGCTATGTGTTGTCGGAGCTGTGCTGTCAGGTATATCCTGGCAGTTGAAATTGTAGACATGCCACTTTGGGTTGTTTGGCTGAGACATAATATCCCAAGTTTCTGTTCAGGCGTCATCCAGCAAGTTGCTGCCCAATGAAATTGTGAACCTTCCCAGGGCTAATGGCGCTAATCTGAGGGAAAGTATTGCTGTTTCAGGGGTAAATTTGCTCTTTGTTTTACCAGGAGGAAGGGTTTGGCCATGATGGCGAAGAGGAGGAGGAGGAAGAGGATGAAGAAGAAGGTGCGTGCTGACTTTATTAACAGTTCTGTATGTCGGGTTTTTTTTAAGAAAGCATAAAGGGTAAGACTGCCAGAGGGGCGATGTGGGCTGGAGGGGGCCAAGTAGATCATTATGTAGATAACTTAACCTCCTAAGGCTCTGGTAAGTAACCAAAGTGGCCTATGCCTAGCAAACGGAAAAAAAATCTCACCACACACTGCTGACTCAAAACCTTCAGCCCGGGGTTTCTCATTTTACAGAACAAGCACGAGTGATTATAATATTGGCCAATCTTACGTGTATCTTATTTCACTCCTGCTATCACACACTGCCCCGCCGCACGTAGTCCAGAGAGGTTGATAATTTCAGGTGTCACCTTCTGAATATTGTCTGTGTGCTTCAATTCCTGGGGTGTATGCACAGCCAGTAGTCTTGTGATCCCTGGAGCAGCGGGGTCCAGTTGGGCCCTTCTTATCCTTGTGATGCAAGCATGACTGAGCCAGCGTGGGGCTAGCATCCATCCCCAAATGCAGGAGCTCTGGATGGAGCTTGACAACAGGTATGCTGGCCTTGCCTCCAAAGGATTGCGTCTCTCAAACCAAGAGGACTGCTATGAGCCTCTTCCGAACACGCCCTCCACTGCCGCCTCCTGTTTCTGGGGTGGCAACTTTTATCTTGCTCACCTGATAATAACACAGCTGTGGAAGTCTCCTTTCCTTTTGTAGCCTAGTTATGGAATAACATAACTGTACCAGAAAGAGCAGTCATCTGTTGGATTGGCATGTTGGCTCCCCCCCCCCCCCTTTGGAGGAGTCATTATGATGAGATTTCCTTCCTTGTTAATACAGATGAAGAGGATAGTGGGAAAGGTGAAAAGAGAAAAAGAGAAGCAGACGACGAAGGGGATGAAGATGATGACTAAGGCCTCGCGTGCCCTCAAAGGACTGTTCAGTATTGCTTGGGCCACCCCTTGGATGATCTGTGACCGAGGAGCACGTGAGGCACACCTGTAGTCGTCTAACAAGCCCCCCCCTCCCCCCCCCGGGTGCAGCACCTAAAGAGCCAAAGAGTCGGCCATTCCTGTGACATTCCACACACCCCGCAGCTGATCTCTCCAGGTGGTTACAGAGCTAGCCCAGCTGGGCCTAGCACCTTCACTTAATCCTCTTGGGGTTCCCAGGCCTTCATCTCCCAACCGTTGCCATAGCGAGACGAGAGCGAGTGTGATGGGTCAGTCCTGGTTGTCAGGGGATACACACACCCCCACCCCACCCCCCACTGACTTGTAGTCCCTTTTTACTTTCTGTGTGACGAGGCTTTGTAAATAGAGTCCTGATGTTTTGGGGGACTGTTTCTTCATGCTTTGCTTTCCCTTGCCTCCCTTTTCCTTTTCTAAGACGTTGGATATTTTTTACATTAGGATGTTTTATGCAACAACAGAAAAAGTATTTTTAAGAACTTGAATGAAATAAACGTTATTTGGTAAACTAGTCTTGTAAATTGGTTATATTCAAACTCTTTTATCTGGGATTCTGTGGCTTCCCCCCGCCCCCCTTCTTTCTCTGAAGCCAGAATATGGGCAGGGTAGTATACTCTCTGCATTGGAAACAAAAATAAAAAATTGTGCACCAATAAAAGCTGAATTCTTTGACCTATACAAATTATGCAAATCATACAGGTTTGCATATGTATATATATTTAAGTTTGCATAATTCTGTGTTTGCCCGGGGGGGAGAAACAATGACTGTGTGTGTGGGGGGGGGGGTTAGACACGTGTACATTGAGCCCTCCCCCCCACTGGAAACCTTCCAAGTGTCCCCATGGTCTTTGGAGAAAACTAGAAAGTACACTGCCTTGGAGATGGGAGATCAACTGTCTTTTTTTCTCCTGCCCCTTAACGGCAATCATTTGTCTTTGTGTATTATTCCTCTCTTGCTGAAACACTGATTCCAAACGTCATGTTAATCTTCTTTTATACCATTTTCATTATGAAGGACGTAACATTTCTACCTTCCCACCCCCATCCTGGGGCAATCCATGTGTGCTTTGTTGGTTTCCACCATAGTGACCATAAACTCAGATCTTCCTTGTGTATATAGTAAAGTAACCTAAGTGCTCTGGTGGCCTGTGGAACATAAAGGGTGAAGCTGCCAGGATGATCTTGTCCTGTCTGAGTGGCAGACACCCCCCCCACCCCCCGGGGGCTGGGGGAAGCTGTGTCTACTGATTCCTCCACCTGGAGGTCTGTAACCATTTACAAGCTGACCCCCCATTATCTGCTTCCCGCATGTGTCTCTAGGTAAAATAAAAATAAAAATCCTAGCATGACCATTCCTGCATTATAAAATATACTTATTGTTGGTGATGACCGGGAGGCTAATGGTGGGGGAATATGTATCACTTCCACTGAAATGTGAATTATTTTCTTACTCGCCCCCAACTAGGCATTGTAGGTACTGCAGCCCCTCCTTCTTCCTGGTGTCTCTGCTAAATACAATGGTTAACAGGCAAAAGATCAGGAAATGCCTTCGTTAGGGGGAATTAAGTGTTCATAATTTAAGTGCTTGAGGAAAGTAAAAAGTTAAACAGGCCTTTCTGACATTCTACCACCATACAATGAAATTGTGTTCATTACAAAATCAAAGTTTAGCCTGCTGGTATATATTTTGGCAGGGAGAATTTACTTGAAGAAGGCTGTAATCTGGCCAAAGCATGTTTGCGTTACAACAGTTTAAAAGCTTTGCTTTGAGATACAGGCTTCATGTTCACAACTGTTTTAAGGCCTACCTCAAACACTTCTCCCTGCCAACCAGTCTTGCCCACTTCCTTGAAACATGGGGCAGGTGTCACATTGGGGAATAGTGCTCATAAGAGCCACAAGTCACAGGGTGTGTGGACATACAAATGTATAGACACACACACATACAGTGTCGGCTGTTTTTGGTGCCTGCACTGTTTCCATGCCATTGCTGCAGTTCTACAGCTCTGCCTACACCATGGACCAAGATGTGCAGGTGATCAGACTTCTAAAATATGGTACAAACATACACTTGCAAGGATCAGACTTCTAAAATATGGTACAAACATACACTTGCAAGGATACATTACTTTTAGGATGGGAGACCAAGGAAGGCCAGCTTAGGTACACAGCGGCAGGCCATAGCAAACCGCCTCTAAATGTCTCTGGCCTTGAAAACCCCATGAGGGGTTGCCATAAGTCAGCTGCAACTTGACAGGAAAAACAAGCTGCCTTGGGCAGATACACTGGATTTGGTAGCAATTGAAAATATACAAATAAATTTAAGGCTATGTTGGGAATAGATTTTTCCTACAACATTAAAAACTGGCATATTCCAGTCAGGTAACAGCATTAGAAGAGTTTCTTTTAATTTTTTACTTTTTAAAAGCAAGTATTCTGCCTCTAAACTGCTTCGTTAAGTAGGAGGTGACTGAATGAACCCCTTTCTCCCTCTGAGGCGGAGGACATCTATGGGTGTTACCACCGTCCAATAGGGAGGCAGGAACTCAAACTCTTCCTCTTCCTGTGTGGCGTGTGTGACACCCCCTATCTTCAGTTCTGTTCCTGCCTCAGAGGGAGAGCAGTTCTACTGCAGGCTTTGCCTATTTTAACTTACCTCAGATTTCAAAAAATACCTTCTTCCTATTTTCTTCCTACCTTATCTGTCCTGATAACCTTCTCCTCCCCCATTCTGTTCCTGGGAGATCAGTATTTAATACCAGCGCCACCTCAGCGGCGTTTTGTTCTCCCGGGGTTCCTTTCTATCAAAGAGGAGAAGATTCTTGTCATGGAGAACTGGGATAAATTTTTAGACAATGGAGACTGCACAGCAGCTGCCGTGCTGCTTGGATCGCCGGGGGGGGGGGGA